AGTAGACCGCAGTTAGAAATTTCGAGTAGAGACTTGATAACGTGATCACCCTGAGTTGAAGAATTCCACGGTGACAATAGTAAAAGATTGTACTGCTATTCTTTTTGCCGGGGACTGTATATGTAAAAATTACAAATAAATAAAACAAAAAAATAAAATAGGTGAAAGGGTGGATAATAAATAATAAAGATAGTGTAAAATGAGACATAGGCGTACCAATTAACCCATGTAGTGAAGATGTTGAACTTTTCAATTCACTGTGATAAGATTCTAATGGATTCGTAGAAGTGACTTGCAAAAGCAAAGGAGAATGTTGACGCGCCCACAATGCCCATTTCTGTGTATTTTTCATGTAGTTTCTTTTGATGTAGTTCTGAATAACAGAAATGGTACAGTTGTTGATAGCGTCTTGTACAAGCCTTTCGCAACTAATCTTTGTTTTTTTGTGCATTGCCGCAATTATAATATTACGAGTTTTTTTATTGTAAATTTTTATCATCCACGTTCTCATAATATGAACGACACAAAGAATTACTTCACATTCTTGCTCGCTGGCATTTATACTCAGAAAAGTCTTTTTAATGCTTTTAGCCTCAATACTGCTTTAGTTTGAAAGGATATAATGGGAGGGGGGACTAACGATAATAGCTATTACGAACTATTTTTAGTACTTCTGAAATAGTATCACAGTCTTCACTACTCACTAAGAAGTGAGCACCTACATCCCAGCATCCATAGGTATCACAAATATATAAAGTGAAGAGACGCCAGTCGTATCTATTAGTTTTATGAGTTGAATCGATAAACGTCAACCATCTATGACGCTGAAGTTTCTCAAGTTGCTTGGGATGCGCAAATACGATACCCTTAGTGGATCGGTGGAAAATACTATAGTCTTTAACACAATATCCTTTTTTAATTAAATAGGATATGGATTGTGAAATGTCTGTCTTTAAATCAAAATTGCCAATAAGGTGGACTTCCATAGGTCCACGAACTTTATATTTAATATTTGTTACTTCCTTTCGACTTAATTCTTGCATGCTTGTATCAAAATCTAACTTAGTTGTTGCATATTCTTTAATGGCGGCAGTAATCGCCAGAGGTGAATAATTTTTAACCGCTTCTTTTTCCACTAAAACTCGAATAGCTTGAGAACGCTTGATTCTATCAGATTCTAACAATGAATGCTCATAATCGGGAGAGTCTTTATAGCATTCAATTTTAACCATTTTCAACGAGACTAACCATAAAACTTTAATTTTAGCTTTACAGAGTCCAGATGGTCATATTCTCGTTATTCTGTGCTTTTTATTTGGAATATTTTCCTTTTGTCGTGTACTTGATTCTCAGTGCTTTGTAAAATGGCAGGCGAAAACTTTCCAATAATTACCATTTTCTAGTTTATATGAATTCCATTGTGTTCAGATATTTGAAACTAACGGCCACCAATTTTCTTCAAAATCTCTATTGAAATTTCCAAAGAATCATTTATATTGAAGAGAAGATTCTGTTTTTCATCTGGTGTGAAGTTTGCTGATGATGTAATAATTGAAGAGGTTGCAAAATTTGAAGCAATTGCTGAAGAAGCCGCCGAAGAAGCTGCCAAAGAAGTCATCGAAGAAGCCACTGAAGAAGCCATTGAAGAAGCTACCAAAGAAGTCGAAGAAGCTACCAAAGAAGTTACCGAAAAAACTGTAAATTTTAAAGAAGCAGCTGAAGAAGCTGCAAATTTTGAAGCAGCGGCAAAATTCAAAGAGATAGCTGAAGAAGGTATATACTAAAGATGGTAACCATAATTAATATGTTGCAACATATAATGTTATAACATATGTTGCAACTATGTTGCAACAATT